GCCCATCTAACTTTCTACAAAAAACTAAAAATATGATTAAATATTTGCTGCTGGTGTTTAATACGTTTAAAGCTTTCATCTTATCAGTGCAACATTCCATTGAATTTTTTCATATTATTAAAAGTAAAATTGCAATTCATCACTGAATTGAAAGATGAGCTACAATTAAAATCTGCAAAATGAAATTAAAAATATAACACTCAATGAAAGAGGAAGGAAATTTTTCAAAGAAAAAAAAAATTTAATAGTTTATATTTCTGTAATTTATACATTTATTAATTTAGTAATTTATTTATTTATTAGTTTAGTAATTTTATGATTTAGTAATAAGAAAATTTCAAAGAAAAATTTAGTAATGTGTATGTTTAAAAGAAATAATACTGCTTTTTTCACTTGATTTTACAGTTGTTGCTCCGGGTGAAAATGCATATAAGAAATTACGCCAGCATTTTGGTGATGAATTCTTTGACAGTGTAAGTGGTGAATTGTTACGGAAAAAACTCGGTGATTTAGTTTTCTCTGATAAAAATGTAAATTTTTTTTTTCTTTATCAATATATATCAGTATATAATTCATGTAACTTTTTTTTTCGATAAAAATTGTAAAATTTCCAGTTATCTTTTCAAATATTTTTTCTTCGTCTTTTCCATTTTTTTTTCCAAACATAACCAATACATGTATATTTCAGATAGTTTACAATTTTTGATCTTTTATTACTATTCAGTCCAATAATTTTCAGACTCGTCATTTGGTCAATTCAATTACACATCCCGAAATACGTAAAATTATAGCATTTCAAATTTTACAACATTTTTTTCGTGGTGAAAAGTTTGTTGTTTTAGATCTTCCATTACTTTTTGAAGCTGGTTATGCAAAAATTCTACAATCAATTGTATTGGTTGATTGGTAAGTTGAAATATTTACACATTACATATGCAATATTTTAATAATAATTTTATATTTATATGCAATTAATCTGCTATTTGATTTATCGAAATTTTAAAACAAAACATTTCTATTGTAATTTCCTAATGACAGTATTAATAATTTGATCTAAGTGCTATATTTAAATTTATTCCTTACAGTAAGCTAAAATGTCGATTTTGATTACGATTTATTGAGTAAAAATAGATAATTTAAGGTTCTACTTTACTTTTTTTTCTACATCGTATTGTATTATATTGTACTGTATGAGGTCAATTTTTTTTAGGTAATACAAAACATGTAAATAAATAAATTGATAAATGAAAATGATAAAATATTACATCATGCACTTTTTTTTCAGTCTTGAAGATATTCAATTGAAACGGTTGCAGCAGCGCGATAATATTGATGAAGGAGAGGCTCGTAAACGAATCGATGCACAGTATCCAATGTCTGATAAACGTCGTCGTGCAACTCATATTGTGAATAATAGTGGCACTATTGAACAGACACGAATTCAAGTGCTTAATTTAATTCGAGAATTTAATGCATCCAAATTACATTTAATTATTCGAGCTATTCTACTATTTGCATTACTTACATTCTTCATTTTAAGTTATTTGCTGTACCATATTGTGTTATTACAACTGTTTGATAATTAGTCTTACCATTAGTAATTTAGAATTTAAATTGAATTTTGAAAAAAAAAGTGATTGTAAAATGGCTGATTTAAACTGCCAGTTTTATATTAATTCTTACTTAACAACAAATCCTATCAAATATGATTCATTTGATGTAATGAATTCGTTAAATTGACTGGAAAATACAATTTTTCTTATCTTTCCATTCATGACAGATTAATAAAAGTAAAAACTATAAAAACCCATCCATGATAGGTTTTTATAGTTTTTATTTTTGTCTTAAATTTCGAAGAGTTCTTTAAAACAAAATAATTATGAAGAGGCGAAGTAATGAGAAGAAAAAAGTTGGATATTTTTAATTATTAAAAATTTAACAGAGGGTATTTTTTAGAAGGGATTAAACGAACTGACTGATTGCTTGAATATTTTTATCAATGATATCAATCACATTTATGATATTAAGTATATGGTATGAAATAAAACCTATCATAATATAACCAATTATGCTGATTTATTGCTATTTTAAAATTTGTTAAGAATAATTGATGTCAAATTTTCCCCTTCCCTAATCACAATCATTTTTTTACCTTTCAAATAATAGTGAAAATAATGTATGCTAAAGTAAAAATATTTATTGAAAATAAAATGGAGAGTAAATGTATCGTTAATTACAACGATGAAATCACTATCCATCATGTATGGATAATGATTAAATCACTATCCATTCTTTCCATCTATCATTCATTACAACAATTGAATCATTGTCTGTATTCACTGTAACGATAAAATGATCATTATTCAGTCTTTCTATTCGCACCATTTTAAAAGAATTCTTAAAGCGTTTTTTTTTTTTTGTTTAAATATATTTATTTAGTGATATTACACAGCACTGTACAATTAACAAAATTCCCATCCATCATTTTACTTTCATTCCCCGCCTTTCAACTATCCTTTGATCCCCGCACTTTCCTTCCCTCTCTTCCCCCGCCCGCTGTTTTCCCCATCCTTCTTTGGGATTAATGTGGAAAGCTTTCAATTCTTCCGGATCATTCTTTTCTTCTTTTCTCTTCTCTCTAATTCTTTTCTATCACAATTCAAAATGAACAGAGTGGAGAAGGCATATTTTGATAATTTCCTAAATTTTCTTTTCAGATTAGTAATAAGTAAAAAAAAAAATACAGCCTACTTTATTTGCCTTTCATATTTGTTTGTTTCCATTTTTTTTTTTCAAGATTATTTTATTCCTGAAACGGAAAAACGATAAGAAAAAATGAAGAAAAGTTTTTTTAATTGACAAAACTATGTAGTGAGAAAAGGGAGAGAGAGAGAGGAGAAGAGAGAGAGAGAGCGAGAAAGAGGTAAGTAGGAAGTGGTTATATTTGAATTTTCATAAATCTTAAACAAGAAAAGAAGTTTTTTTTTTTCCTTTTTTTTCAAGGTTGATTTTTTTTTCGTTTTCTATAAATTACAATTTGGATACTTTTCTTATATTTTTATCTTTTCTGAACGAAATAATGTTGAAGAAAAAGATTGTTTTAGTTTGAAGTAAATTGAAAATTGGAAATTTATTGAATAATGGCAAAAGGAATGTTTATTATTTTACGTTAATGTCAACACTTTCAATGGATTTATTTGATTTCAAACCAATTAATTCCGATCTTTATTTGCTTCAATTTTAAATTTTAGCATTTCTTTTCTTCCTTTTCATTGAATTGTTAAATGTAGTAGCGTTACTTGTATTCTATCATACTTTAATTACTATAATTAAACCGTAAATGACTTTTTTCAGACGATTGGCTTTTTTTGATTATTCGTTTTTTTTTTCTTATGGAATTAATCAATTTATAACAAAAGAAAACCAAAGAAAAAAGCATTTATATTTTTGAAATTTTAGTAAATTTACATTTTCTAATCATTAGCACTTTACCGTTAATTTACGTCTAATCTCAATTTAATATATATTTCAGTTTTTATGTCAGTTAGCATTAGACAATGCTTGCTCCCTTTATACTTGAATACATATAAACAGATCTGACGTAATTATAATTGCAGAATTAAGTATTATTTGCAAAGTTCATTAATTAATTTAAAGAAAAAATTAAACGGAACAAGTGCTCATAAGCACAATGAATTGTATAATATAGAACGAAAAAAAAATATAAATGACCGGAAAAATTCAAAATTGCTAATATTTTTTGTGGAAAATCCAAGGAAAGAAAGGAAAACAAAAAAGAAAATGTTCAATTAATTAACATTTTTCTTTTTTTATTTTTAATAATAAGAATGGTTAAATAATTTGAGAAGGAAGTGAATGTGCGAATGTTACGGGAATGTGAATTTTATGAAATAAAAAAAAACGAATAAAAGAATAGAAATGTAAGCAAAAATATGATCGTAATAATCATTTCTTGAATTTTATTATTTTCTTCCATTTTTCTTTCTTTTTCTTGCAAGTAAATGAATATGAGAAAGAGAAAGAAATTGATGAATTTTTTAATTAAATAAGTGAAAATTTTGATTTATGATGTTACAAATAGTATTGTTATTATTGGAATACACATACATCTGTTTTATATGCTCTATCCTTTTTAAGTATAAAGAGCAGTAAAATATTTCGTAATATCATTTAAACATCAAAATATCGAAAATTTTTAATTAATATATTATTTATTTCAGATGAGATAAAAAAATCATTAAATTATGAGACATTGTTATTGCAAGCAGAAAAAATTATTGTATCAAAATTAATTCCATAGGCTATATTAATTGATATCATCTTTAAACACAAAATTTGTAAACGACTGCGGTAATCATTACTTTTGAGCAAAAGTATAAATACAATGGATATGGTAGGTAACAGAAGAATATTCGAAATTAAAAATGAAGTGATACAAAATACAATACACAAAATACTTGTAAACTTTCTCTCGAGAACGTATGAAGGACCTAATTTATTAAATGAGACAATGAGTAAATAGTATAAGTTCAAGTTATTTTATAATCTCCGTAGGATTATAGAAATGTGAACTACCCTATATACCAATTAACTTGATAAATATACTATTATATACATTAGTTAAATTTTATAATATACATTAATTTATATAATTATGATATAGAGTAATTTATATGTTTGCAATATATGCTAAATTTATATAATTGTAATATACACTAATTAAACTAATTATTGCCAGCATTGTGATGTAGTTAAATATTTTTATTTGAAACCATTAAATTAGCATATTAGAACAACGAAGCAATGATAATCTTGCATAAAATATGCTAACTAAATATACAAAATGCACTAATTAAGATAATTATTGCAGGTATTGCAGTCCTATAAGTACAGTAAAATTTCTTCTTTTAACACTTTTGCGATATAATTCCTTTTTTTTTAATTGAAACGATATGATGCAGTTAAAGATTGATTTATTGTTAAAAATTTTCCTGTCCTAAAAATATGTGTTAAATTTCATTTCTATTTAAAACCATTAAATTAACTCATTAAAGTATACGAAGTAATAATAATTAAAATATCATTTAACTGCAAAAAATGTCTGCTGAAAGAAATTTTCTTTGTCATTTTTTTTCTAAAAAAGTGTGAAAGTTTAAAATGTGAATGCAAAAAAATTCACGAAAAGTTATAGTTTAAAATTATTCGAAGTTATAGTTTAAGTATGACTGTAAGAACATAATATCTAATTAAATTAGACTAAATTCTTAATATTATGCAAACAATTTTGAAATAATATAAGAAAAAAAAAAGAATTTTTCATAATAATTCATGTTTACATTTAGCTGGCTGAAAAGAGACGAAAAAATTTTTGCTGCTCAAAAAATTTCAATGCTCTCTTAATAATGTGAATTTTGCTTCCCATTTGAAAATTGCCCCAATCGGAATATTTATCAGCGCATTTATCGTTCATTTTGCTCCTAAAAAGAATTTGCAAAATCAGAAAAAAAAAAAGAAAAATTGATTAAAAATTGTGTTGAGAGGGAAATATTTTTTTTTCCTTTTTTTTTCAGAATTCTAAAATGAATTCTTTTTTTGCGTTTTTTCCTACTAACCTTACAATAATATTTTACATACACAATAATTATGCCATCTGCCATCTCATATATCTTATCACAACAAATTTATCTTAATTAATAATTTGTCACATTTAATAATTCATGTAAACAAATCTTGCAATAATTAACGCATTTATTGTAATTATCTTTAATTACAGGCAATAACTTCTCATATTTGAAGTATAAATAAAATTAAAATAAATAAAAATTACGAAAAAATGTTAATGGGAAATTTTCATTTCTGTATTTCAAATTTTGATGAAAAGTAATTAATGTTTACTGAAATTTGAATGTCACACAGTGCATCTGTCCTCTTTTCATCCCCTTCGTCCCCGCCCCCAACTCTGATTCTCGTGCCCCGTCGTTTGCCTTATCTGTCTGTCATCATAAGTGGTGATATGAGAGAAAGTGTCATCATCAGTTTTCAGTTTGAATGATTAATTTTTAATGGAATGATTGGATTTCTACCATTTTATTTCCATGCTCTTATCTATAAATTTCATTCATTCTTTTCAAGTTCATTTCTTCAAAAATTTTAGATTAATTTTAAAAATTTTAATTAATTAAAAGTAATATGCATCATTTTATTGCTACACCTTATACAGTTATATCGCAGCAAAAGTTATTCTGACATTCTATTTTAATTACTTTTTTTATTAATTACTTTCTCTTCATTTGTTTATTGGCAAAAAAAAAACATACCTGTAGATTTGTTTGAAAAAATGAAGTTAGATTGAAAAGAATTTTGTTTTAGTTTTATAATTTGAGTTAATGAACATCATTTTTGCAAACATTCTTTAGCACTTTATTTCGCTGAATTTGATAAATTAGCAATTATTGGTTTATTAATTAGTTGTAAGTTTTACATGAACTTTAAGTTTCTCGGTTTTTTAAGCATTTTAATTCTTAAAAGTAGGAAGGATTGAAAATAATATAAAATTTA